GAAAGGGGGTCCCCAGGGACAGGGTGGGTAAAGGCAAGGTTTTTTGGGGGGTGGGGACAGGAAAAAGGGGGGCACGGAGTGCAGGGAACGCACAAAAGGCACCTGAGCTGCAGGAGCTCAGAAGGGCTTCACCTGTCGGCGGCCATCTTGAAAGAAAGCAAGAAAGCAAGCAAAGTTTCTCCGGCTTGGCATCCTTTTTCCTTCGCACTAAACTAGCTGAAGTAACACGTTAGCTTGTTTAAACACTGCCCTTCCCAAATGAGAGGCAAGACGACTACATAAAACCAGATATGAGATAATACCATGAGAATGGTCAGTGACTTGACTGGCAATGGTTCATCTTTTGTAAGACAATGTTGGCGAATAAAAATATTCCTTTTCAAGTTTAAGGAGAGATGAAACAGTTAAATGAAGAGTTAGATCTTACCCACAGTCCCTTAAAGATGTGGAAATATCCAGGTCCCCATCTCTGCTAGCTTCCTGATGGCATCAGATGCAAAAATGCCATAAAACTTGTCAAGAGTCATCAATCCAGTTTTTCAAATAAGTGGCATTCAGGTGAAAGTCTTCACTTTTGAAGGCTAGTCCAAACCAGATTCTAGTTTCAGCTGTGTTGGAGGACTCGCTCCACCTTCACTAACAGGAGGTCCCCAATTCTTATTTTATGTTGTATTATAATACCTCTTGAAAGACATAGAAATGCAACCTGTGCTAGGTGCTAACAAATGATGCATGAATGCTGTAAAGCTACTATTGGTAAAGCCTGATAACATTGCATAGTCCTTTGTAACGTGCACATAAGAAACAGGGACAGGTTTTCAGAGGTACTTGGGCACCTAAACATTCATATAGTGGGATTTCCAGAAGTTTTTAGGTACCAAAAAACATTGACCAGGTCAATGGTCCCTATAGATAGAAATAGTCTATGACAATATGCAGGGCAGCATAGGCTCTGACAAATGTAAATGCTCTCCCATTGCAAATCCCCTCTGTTCCCAGAAATGTCAGCTTCCATGCACTTCTCACAGTAAAATTAGATACACAGCACTTAAGTGTTTGATACACTATCTGTGCTCAGTTTTCATTGAATGTTTCTAGGGCTCAGCCAGTCATGAATAATGATGAGTAACCCTGTCCTTTGACATGAGTTAGCGTAGCAGCATTTGACTAGCCCAGTTACAGGTCCTGCCATCCTTTCAGTTTATCTTCTACCTAGTGTTGAAAGAGCCCACTCTGAAGTTTCCATAGGGTTGCTTCTCTTTCATATCCAGGTGAGCACCAGATCTGCATTATGAGATATGTGCACATTTAGCAAATTAAAGTTAAGTTTAGAGTTAATCTGCTGATAGCAATTATGGTAACACACCATTTTATTTTACATTTAAGATATATCCAATGCTGGTCAGCAAGGCAGCACTGGTTCCCACACCTGTGGCTGGGTCATTTTTGTTTCTAGCCATACTTAAACAAATACAACACTTAATAGTCCTTACCATAACTTCTTCTTGCTCATAATCCTCCCTGAAGGCTCAGAGCTTTTAGATGTAAGGGCTTAGAAACAACCTTAGCAAACCCTCCTCCTGCAAGAGGCTTTTCCTTACAGCTTTCAAACAGCATAGAAGCCATTAGCTGCCTTTCCTCACACAGACTACCGTCCCCAACTCAGCCCAGATTGCCTTTCTTTCTCACAGCAGATTAGGTTCATTTGAATCACATGATGCCTTTGAATCATTCAGTCCTCTCACCTGGGGTAGCTGTTGATTGTTGGCACAGGGCAAGCAATTGCCCCCTCCCTGTGAAGGCCAGTTCACCCTACAGACTTAAAGATGAG